CTTTAAAGTTGTTTATTTGACAATTTGAGTTTGATAAAAGTTGAAATACAAAAACTGTTTCACTTGTTCAAGATAATTGCAACTCCAAGTGAACCCTCAAAGGTAACAACAAATGCAATAAAAAGTATAATCACTGGAAGAACCACAGAATAATAAGACTCTTCATTAGCGATACAAGTTGATATAATCAGAAAATGTTTGAAGGCAAAAAAAGGTCAAAAAGATGATCATTTGAGGTTTTAAGTGAAAATCCAATGAAAAGAAAAACATTTTTTAACTTTTCTTTTCTTTTCTTTTCATTTCTTTCTTCTTTTCTTGTTTCTCTTCTTAAATGCAACAAAAGGACAATTGGTTGACTCGCAAACATCAACAGATATGTTTATTAGAAAGCAATTGGATACGCTGTGCGATTTTGTAAGCGATGCCATCGAGTTACGAAAGAAACGAGGAAAAGTTGAAAAGTCCGAGAACAACAAGAAAAGGTTTTACCTTTTATTTAATAGGAAAAGACGAAGAAAGCAAAGTTTAGGTAAAAAAAAGATGTTGAACAAATGCTGTTAATTGTTGTTCGTATTATGTGTTGATCCAAGTGAAGCACGAAAAAAACATTTCTATTTATCCTGGAAAATATAATGCAATGCTTCACGCTCTTGTCAACTTTTCACTTTTCACTTATTTATCTTCATGTTGATGATGATGATGATACATGATAGTAAAAATGGTTTAGTTTTCAATTCTGATAGACTAATTGACCTTAGTAAGAGTATTAACATTGGACACGGCTACTGGTAACACAACTCACAATATTATTTTTCATCATTCTTCACATTCCTTATTGTCATTGACCTCCCAGCAACTTTACACTTTCAGTTGTTGTTTAATATCTTCATCAATATTCATTTGTTGTTTCAACAAAGAATAACTTTCATTATTCAAAATATTACGATTAAGGGAAACATTCTTAAATGACTTTGATTTCTTCGAATTTTATTCTCACATCATTTATGCTATAAAAAAAGTCGTCTTTTCATTGCCGCGCTAATAATGTTGTTTAAAGAGTTTGAATGGACAAAAAGTGCAACATAAACTTGGATTTACACGAAACGAGCCTTTGTTTGCGCTCAATCAATCAATCAATTAAAGTTGTTATTTTCATTACAATATTGAATGAAATGAAAGCGTATCAAACTAAATGCGATTAACCAGTCAAAAGTCAAAGCCAGTTCAACCCATTGCAAATGTTAATTCAAAAAATGACATTTCACTTTAATGTTTTTTCCCGTTTCCTCCATTCAAAGTCTCAATATTTGTGCACAAAAATAAACTAATGTTGACATTAAATTCAAAGTTTACTCTAGTTTACGATGAGAAGCATTGAGCAAATCAAATGAAAGGCCAAATTTACATGTAAATATAATAATTACCAGTTGATTAACAAAAGTCAGAGTAAAATTGAAACGTAAATTGAATGAATAAATTATCCAGAAAAAGCAATGAAAAAGATTAACATTTAAAATTCATTTTTCGCTGTAAATGCATATTCTAATGGATTTAGATTGAGGTTGAAATTTTGGCAGATTCATTGGTTTGGCCTGGAATTGAGATTAACATTTAAAATTGAATCGTCAACATTGACTAATTGAATAATTTTGACAAATTTTGACAAACCAACATGAGAACAAGATGAATGAATGTTAAGGTTGAACGGGAAAGGTCACTTGATGGCTGAAAATTGCTGTTTAAAAACAACAACATCAATTAATCATAATTAATCAGTTATCATAATTATTGAATGAGATTTGGTTTCACAAAAATATTAAAATGCTATTGAAGGGAAAAGTTGTCAAACTGGCAACAGAAAAGATGTTTATGTGCAATCTAAATCAGTGTTAAATAACGAGATAAATTGAAATAAATTGTCCTCTAAACGTTCCGTGTTAACAATCAATTAAACATTATTCAACATTTTCTTACATTAATAAAGGTTAATCATTTTTGCGTTTCTTCATCTTCTTCTCCTGACAAACCCTTCAAAGTGGAAACTGAAATGAAATAAAAAAAGCAACTTGTCAGGTTGACATGAATTTCACTCTGATTGAGGTTCCAATTACAAACCACCCACTGGGTGTTAATTTATCCTCTTCACCTTTACCTTTACTGAGAAAAGGAAACAATTCTTGGGTAAAAAAACGAAAATAATGTTTTCCTTTTTGTGTTGTCTCTTCTCTTCTTGCGAACACTTGTATTGCGATTTCAAATTGTTGCTCTCATCATTATGACATTTGGGCAAATAAACATCAACAAAATCTGGTGAGAAACAGAGGAACATGTTCAGCTTTATTCAGATAAAATAATTTTCTCATGACATTGATTAATAACTTTTCATTATCCATTAATAACCATGAATAATTGGATTAAAAGTGCTAAAGATAAGGTAAGGGCAAAAGACGTGAACAAGAAACGAAAGTAACTTCTTCTTAATCTCATGTTTAACATCTTTCAGTGAATCTTTTCAATTATCGGCTGTAATTTTTCATGTTTATTTATGCTTTTGTTTCATGGTCAACTGAATCAAGCATTTCTTCATACAATTTTTGTCCAACTCAGGTTAAGCTTAGGTAAAAGTGCGTGCTAGTCAAACCTAGAGTTAAACACTTAAGAAGCTCAAAATTCATAGAAAAAAATTGATCTTTCAAATGAGAAACTTATTTCATCGGAAAGAAACTCTAAAACGGCAAAACGCAATGAAAGTTTGGATTTTTGTATTTAAACGAAAATTTTGATTCGACTCTTTTTTCTGCTTTCAAACTGAGAATTGAATGCTTGAATTAACTGATGAAAATAATTGAGTTTTAAGTTATTAATATTTCCATATTTCGAAAATTGAAGATTGTTGAGCATTTTAATTGAGAAACTGAAAATCGGTGAAAAAATTGATCTTGCAACGAATTCAAATGAGAAACTTATTTCATCGAAACTCTAACTCTTTAGAGGGACGAAAACGCAATGTTTTTCAAACAATCGATAAAAGTTTGGATTTTTGTATGTAAAAGGAAAGTTTAGATTCGATTTTTAAGTTTTCTGCTTTCAAACTGAGAATTGAATGCTTGAACAGATTGATCAAAATCATTGAGTAATTGGAAAAATTGCAAATATTATTGAACACTTTGATTGAGAAACTTAAATGCATGAAAAAATTGATCTTTCAATGAATCCAAATGAGAAATTTCTTCGAAACTCGAACTCTTAGAGTGACAAATGTCTTTTAAATAATTAACAAAAGTTTTTGTATTTTGGACTTTTGTATGTAAAATGAAAATTTGGATTCGATTTTTAAGTCTTCTGTTTTCAAATTGAAGATTGATGGATTGATCAAAATCACCGAATCTCAAGACATTTGAACATTTGATGGGAAAAACATTGTTGATGTTTGAAGATGTGCTTGGTCAGGTCAGTGAAAGGTCAAAATTTTGTGTTTACTTTACATTGATGAAGCCTTATACAATGTGAAATGATCCAGACAAAAATGTGTCCTTTCAAAAAGATGTCCATCTAAACAAATTTTTTGCTAACATTAGACAATATCTGTTCATTATCAGTTTAACCGAGTTTAATCAAGAAAAAGCAGCTTTCTTCTGTCATATTAGTCGACTTTAAAGGAATTAGTGAAATCATTTTTGTCCATCTTTTAATTACGATTAAGGTTTCAGTGAAGACCAATGTTAACCGATTATCGCGTAATCAGAAATGTAAACATTTTTCTTATCAAAAGGTAAAAAGATGAGAAAATTTGATAAAAAATATTGACTCAAATTGACTGTGAAAATGAACTTATTTTTGTGTGCAAATGTTATCATCAATTGAGTTATTTCAATATTTTGTTCACATTTGGATAAACCTTTTCTCTCTACCTTTTACCTGTTAAAAGGCTTCACTCAAACAACATCAAGATAAAAGTCTTTGTCATTCCATGTTAAGTGAAACATTAACAAGAGTCAAGATTAGATAATTTCAATTCGTTAAGAGATTCACCGATAAAATAAAGCCGATTATTGGATAATATTGAACAACTTTTAACGCACAATTCAGACCAATAAAGCTTAGCATTGTCATGTAAATTGACAGTTATCATTACCTTTACAATTTGAAACTGTAAAACTCATTCAATGAAAATGTAAAACCATTTGAGAAAAGAATCGTAAATTAAACTGAAATTTTTGTCATTGAATACAGTTCTGAAAAGGATTGGTTTATGACATTGTTGATGAAAGCAACAACAACTTGAAATAAATCCAGTTAAAGAAATGATCTTTCATCAAAAGACTTAACAGGTTTAAGAGATCATTAACGGCAATTTTAGGTCGCTTTCAACCTTTTATCGCTCTATTCATCTCTTGTGCGACTACTGGTTATGTTGTGAAAACGAGCATTTTACGAGCTTATAAAGTGATAATGCGAATTGGAATGACTTTTGACTGAAATTGATGTAGATCTTGAAATGATTTAATCAATGAATGCTAATTATTTCATGTCTCGGATTCCCTGTTTTTTGTCGTTTTTTTTATTCTTTTGCGAAATTATTGAATGAAATGTAATTCCATGTTTCAGGATAACCTATAACTATTGGATGTTTCATTTGTTGACTTCAATTGTTACTTGTTCATTGATATTGATACAGAAAAAAAGGTTTATTTTTTATGTGTTTCCAATTCTTGAGTTTCATTTCCATTCGAAACCGTTTATTACAATTAAATCAAATTGAACCGGAAAACAATTAAATCTATTGATACGTGAGTTTTTGGTAGGACAATAACAATATCAGGTAACAAGAGGTTTACCGGTTAAACAATAAATATATTGATGGAAAGCAAGAGCAATACAAAAACAATTGGATTGCATTACAAGGGAATGAAGTAGAAATTAATTTCCTCTCTCATTTCTCATTTTTATAATAATAATGTTAACAATTTATTATTACATTTGATAAACTAAAGTGTCTCAAATGGTTTAGGTGAAGGGAATCGGGTAAAACTGCGCACTTTTAACCACCTTTTAGGAGGAGTTTTGGTTTTTACGGTAAAAAGATGAAAAGCAAAGGGAAGAATCAACTTTAGTTTCTTGGTTTATAGTAAACTTGACTTTAACTTGCCATCTATAGTGATAGATACATTGGTAAATGACTTTACTCTTTATGTTGGTCGAGATTTTTTCGTCTTTTTCGGATTCTTTTGTATAATTCAACTTAACATGGCTTTGCCGAAATTCAATTCATTTTCAATTCGGAGTTTACTTAATGAGATTGACAGTGACAATGAAAGTGAATCAACACCCTTTTCACCCAATTTGGATAAGACCTCAGTCATTACCAACAGTGAGCCCAATGGGATTGAAAGTGTAACAAAGTGTTCAACTTCGGATGTAAATAGTGATCTGGACAACATTGTTAATATGAAGAGCTGCCATTCATCAAATTCATCAAAAGGTGTAACTTCGTCTAAACCAGAAGTAAACTCTAATAGTGAAAGTAACTCTGCCAATAAACCCAAATACAGTTACAATGCATTGATAATTATGGCCATTCAAAATAGTCCAGAGAAAAAGTTGACCTTAAGTGGCATTTACGATTATATCACTGAAAACTTTCCTTATTATAGAAGCAACAAGCAGGGTTGGCAGAACTCGATTCGTCACAATCTGTCTCTTAATAAGTGTTTCATTAAAGTTCCCAGGAATTATGATGATCCTGGTAAAGGCAATTATTGGATGTTGGATCCAAATGAATCTGATGAAGTGTTCATTGGTACTTCTTCCGGCAAGTTGAGAAGGAAAAACAGTTCAAGAGCGAAACTCGCTCAATCCTTTAGAAGGTCAATCTTACAAAATTATGGTTCTTATGGGTCACTGAATCGGTTTCAATTGTCATCACTTTCACCTTACAGACCAACATTCACCAATCCATTTGCCAACTGTGGTCAACCCATGAATGCATTTTACTTCCAGTCATGTTTATTTTCACCCAAATATTGTAATAAGTGAATATTGTAAAGAATAACATTCAAATTATTGTGTAATTCTAATTCTTGTAAATTCTGTTTCAAATTTAATAATAAATAGCAAATCTTTTTTTCCCTTAATGACAAGAAGGACAAATTTCATTGTTTATCAACTCACATTTACAGATTTAAAGTCAAATGTTTAAATTGCAAAATGAAATCCTTTACTTTTGTGCCAAGTTGGAATGAAAAATTATCACAATTCGGATTTAAACTTATATCTTCAACTTTCATGAGACAGAACTTTTGTTGCTTCGTTACTGAATTAACGTGCAAAAACAATGAAGGCCTAGTTGCCCTGTAATGACGAGTTATTTCAATTTAAAGCCAGAGTTAATATCAAAATTGGTTGTTAAAAAAATCAAACAAAATGCGACAAAACCTTCGCTAAAATGATGAATATATTAAAGTGAATACATGAGAAAGATTGAGATTTGTAAAGAATTGATTCGTTTATTTGACATTTATCAATAAATGGTAAAAGAGTGTTCTGTACATCTTAATAATGACCTCTGAACATCTCAAATACCCGTCAGTGGTAAAGAGTACTATAAATTTTTCAGAATTTCAATGATTGAATGGCTCTATAATACGGCTGAGAAAAGGTTTACAAGGAAGAAGATTGATTCTTGTCTGATTCTTAATAATCAACAACAAAAGTCTGAATTCAAATTTAAAAAGATGTCAATGTCAATGAAAAAAGTACAAGTATGAGTAAAAATGACCAAAAAGCTGATTTGATTAACTGGTTCTCTTCATTTTTATAGACAACCGATTTAACCATTTTCAAGAGCGATTTATCTTTGAAGTAGCTTGGATTGGATAACAAAACTGTTGTCAAAAACTCGGTGCAAGTTTCTTCTGTGAAAAAATTGTCCTCTGAAAAGATAACTTCTGAAAACATCTTGAACATTGACTTGTTACTCAGTTTACCTCAACTGGGTCTTGAACTCGGACTTTCCTCTCTATGGATATTCAATATTCAAAGATGGCGGGTTAGTAACAAGGGCATGCGCGTTTTAGAGAAGAATTGAAATTGAGAAAAATAAATTCTTGGAAGCTGCTTCTGCCGTTTATTTTCAAAACAGTTATTGATGTTATTGTTTTTTTTTGCCTAGTTTAATTTACTAATCGTCTTTAAACTGTGGTACGTAATTTTAATTCTTTAATTATGCTGATTATCTTACTATTTTAAGTCTTTATTGATTACTATTATTAATGTTTATTGGATTTTCTGTTCACAATTTTAGTCTTCTGTGTTGCTTCATCACTCCTTCCCTTATTTTGTGCGCTTCTCATTTTTTCCTCTCTTTCTCTTCTCTAATTCTTGGTGTGGTGCTATGTTTTTTATTTTTAGTTTCTGTATCTTCTGTATCTTTTGTTCTCGTTGTTTTCCATTTACTTGTTAAACCTTCAGTCGTTAAATTAACTGTGTTATGTTTACCTGATTTTTTTTGCATAAATTATTAATAATTAACGTTCTATTTTCTCTTCTTTTCCTCTTTTTTCCAATTTTTTTTGTTTGTGTTTTTCAGCTCAATCTTTCGGATTATCAATTTTTCCGACTACTGCGTGCTTTGATTTTGATTAACACCTCAAATTAAAATATCTCGACGCTGTTGATAGAACTCAGCAAATAATTTTGAAACATCACCTTGTTAAAATTAAATCAAACGTCTTAACGAATTAAGGAGCAAAATCAATTTATTACAACATGGGTCAAACCCTTTCAGAGCCTGTAACCGCCAAAGAGACAACTTCATGTAACAATCGTTATGTATCTGTTGGTGCCTCCTGTATGCAAGGTTGGCGAGTTAGTATGGAAGATGCTCATACACATATTCTTGACTTAAGTTCTACCGACCAGACTGCTAGTTTCTTTGCAGTTTATGATGGACATGGAGGTACTCGCGTTGCTAATTATGCTGGTAAACATCTTCATGACATCATTATGTCACAATCTGCATTTGAAGCTGGTGAAGTTGAAGAGGCCATGAGACGAGGTTTCTTACAATTGGACCAAGATATGCTTAGGGATCCAGATATGAAAGACGAACTTGCAGGTTTGTATTAAGCCAAGCAGCATTTAATTATTATGCTTGCTTTCTATTCAGAGTCAATGATTCATTAAATTCTAAAAATGTGAATTTTTGTTATTCAGGAAGTACTGCCATAGTTTTGTTGATTCGGGAAGGTAAAATGTACATTGCAAATGTTGGGGACTCTCGAGCTGTAGCCTGTTGGGCTGGACGTACTGACCCTCTTTCATTTGATCATAAGCCAAGCAACGAATTGGAGGCAAAACGGATTCAAGCTGCTGGTGGCTGGGTCGAGTTTAATCGAGTTAATGGAAATCTTGCTCTTTCTCGTGCTTTAGGTGATTTTGTCTTTAAAAGAAATGATGACAAATCAGTAGAAGACCAAATTGTTACCGCATTACCTGATATTGAAGTGCGAACTATTTCAGAGGAGTTGGAATTTGTGGTTTTAGCTTGTGATGGTATTTGGGATGTTATGAGTAATACAGAGGTTGTTTCATTTATAAGAACAAGAATAGCCGCTAAAATGGAACCTGCTATCGTAAGTACTAATTTATTCAAATTTTATGCAGACATAATAATTAGCCAATTTTTTGTACTGAGGCGCAGGGAAATTTTTCAAAATAATTGCCAACTTTCCGCCTTACGAAATAATACAAATTATATCAGCATTACAATTCTTAGTGAAGACTCATTTAAATCATTAAAACACTATGAAGGAAAAATTGCAGCTCTCACCGTGTAGACATGAATTCGCAGCCATCTTAAACGATCAAAACCTTGCCTGCTTTAGCAGTTGTAGCCCGAATTCTGATACGATGATCAACATTGAAATACCTTAATCTTGGCATTCGCGTAGTTATTCATATCAAAATTTCATTCTTAACAAATGATCAAGAGTTTTCATAGATTTCTGTTTTAAATTTAATTCATAGATGTTTATATTTTACAAATAGTCTGATCAACTCTTATAGTATTTATTGAATCGAAATGAAACGCAGTCCTGGTGCTTAGATTATAATAAAAAATCGAACAGCTTGGTATTCCAAACCTAACCTACGTCTGAAAACCTACCATGATATCTGCTAACTCATTTGATGAAATAAGTGGAAATTTAGCCTTCCAGAATGTAATGTAAATTGCAATTTCATTCTTTTCAGCTGGTTATCGGAAAAACATTCATTTTATATTTTCGTAGAAGAATCTTACTTTCTTTGTATTCTATCTGTCCAAAACGTCTAAATTTTGTTTAATTTGTTCATCTAGTTTGATTGCTAACTTCTGTATTTCAATTTTATGGATATTTTCAATTAACTTTAACTATTGAACACTGCCGTATTTGTGCATACGTAGGAGTCTCATTTCTATTTCTATATTTTTTTCAAGAGCAATTTACACCCATTTTTGGTATTATATTTTCAAATTACTTATAGAGAGATTTTTTTTAAAGAAGTTTGCTACGAGATTTTTAGCAAAATAAACACTGAAGTTTTTTCAGTTTATCTGAGTAAATCACGCTTAGAGTTGATTTTTTTCGGGTTTTTCTACAGTATTTCAAATCATCCGACAATTTTGCGAATCGTTACAGTTATTTTATATATTAATACAAACATTTGAACAATAAAGAAGACAACTTGAAGATTATTACTATAAATGTTTCTTTTCTCATGTTTTTACTTATCAGCTCATTATGTTTTTACTGTTGAGTCAAGTATTGATGAGAATTCTTATCAAGCTCAGTTTCATTTGTTTTATTATTTATGTAATACTTCAACAATTCCTCAATTTATCTGTTTATTAGTGATTAGATGATTCTTTTAATGATCTACTTACCATAAAATAACATTTTTGTTATATTCAATAGCAAACTTTGAATTTCAAATCTTGATTCATGAATTATAAGATTATTCGCAAATGCGCTTTTCGGGTCATCTCATTCGATTTCTTAACTTTTCAGTTTCACATTTTTTCATATAATGTCTCTAACGTAAAACAACTTATCATTGCTTATAAGCTCCTCACTAATTAATAAAATTTGTTCTTTGTTTTACAGATATGTGAGGAATTAATGACACACTGCTTAGCTCCAGACTGTCAAACAGGAGGATTAGGCTGTGACAATATGACTGTTTTGCTAATTTGCTTCCTTCATGGTAAAAGCTACGAAGATTTATCAGCTCGATGCTCAGTAATAAATTCAACCAGAATCAGGCGTCATTCCAGTGGCTCTTTGGATTCATCTGATTCTCTTCTTTGTATGACATCATGTTCTTCTTCTACATCTGAAAGTCAAGACGAGGATATAATCAACCGAGAAAATGAAGACGGTGAATTGGAATTAAACAGTAATGAAAGTGGAACTCCTCCGTTATCCAAGCTTGTTGATGATGGCTTGGCTGTCTCTTAAAAATCTGCCAATTCATGAAAAACAGCCATAGTTATCTCTGCGAATCTTTTTCACTTTACAGTTTAGGTGTATCTTCAAACTTGATCTTTTAAAAATTGAACAATCAACTGCTTATTCCAGCCTTTAGAAACAATCACCTTAAGCCATGAAACAGTTTCCATCAAAATTACGAATCACCGTTAGATTGTTACAGTAGCAAGTTTTCTGTGAATACAGAATTTCAACTTCAAATACAAAAATCAAGTAATGAAAAAAGTACAAGACAGATTAAGTTGAAAAATTTTATCATGTACAGCAGAGCAAATATTACTGAGTAACCATAACTTTTGAAAGCGCTATTGCGTCACAACTAGACTCCGAAGTTGTTTTTATTACTTAATCTACTTTTTCATAAAGAATACAATTTAAGAAGATCAGGTCGACAGATACACCTTTAGCGTATTGTCCTGCCCTACACTATCCACTTTAGTCCTTTAACGTTTTTTCCTATTCTATCTTCGATGATAATTTCCATCGACCCGTCCCTTTCATTCGTTTTTCATCAAGCAACTGAATATCGCCTTTCTTTTTTTTCATCCTCTCTATCTTAATAGTCTTATTCAGTTCATTGCTCTTTCCTATTATTCATTATATCCTTACTTTGTCCTTTTCTTTCATTTTCTTCTATCTTTTCTCATTGAACGTGCATAGAGTCGCAAGTTGTACAGTGTTTACACACAAACAAAATCTACCATCACTAATAATACAAGTGATGTAAGTATATTGAGCAAAGACTACAAAAAAATTGAGGTGAAATTTAAAAATTCTTTATGCTAATATCACCCAATGATTAAAGCGCAACATTTCAGCCAATTCATTGCTAGCATAGTCTAACCCAGTAAACTTAGAATCGACTAAATCTTTTCTAAGTACTAGGTTAATTACAAGCGCAGAAATTACATGTTTTGCTGATATTCTTATAAAAGCATTATGTTGGTAACACCAAGAGAAAAGTATTTACTTGTTTAACAAAGTATCATCAGAGAAATCACTATTAGAGACAAATTATTATCGTCCCTTCTTTCCTATCTTCCGCCTTGAAAAATTATGTCCTTTAAGGGTCTACCTTCGTAGATTTTTTTCTTTTAATTACATCAAGTAATAAAGAGTGAGGTGCACAGATAAGTCTTGACACGTGAATTCTCCTTGTATCAATCTTACCATCTGAATTTACCTTGTCTTCCTTCACAATATTTCTCTTTCCTTCTACTTACTCTCCTCTCTTGCTATCAACTCGCCCAAGAATAAGATCATGAAATCAAAACATTTTTTCAACAAAGAACAGAACTAAGCCTAGACCTACATGCACTGCATCAATATTCTGGTTGATATTGTAATGAACCTGTGAATTCCTATTCATTTTCTTCCTTGAACCACTTCATCCTCTTTTCACCTCCTTTACCATAATCACTTCTTTTCTTACTTATCTTCTTTCTCTTGACTATGTTACCTGTCATTGTCTAAAAACAACTAACCAGAAACAGCCAATACTCGATGAGAAAAATTGGGTTTCAAGACAAAGTCAAACCAAATTTGATACCTGTTGTTAAACCTTTTTTGATTGGATTTCTATAAAGAAGATTTATGCACATCCTGATGAGAATTATGATAAGTTGATAATGATGTTATCGTTAAACAGCTAAAAATACAAAAGCTAACAAAAAAATTAACTGAACGTAAACAAGCCAACAAATAGTGATGGAAACGGTAGCCTTGTGGTTCTCAAAGATAAATAAAGATGAAAAAGAAACTGCTGCTCAATCGAATGACATTACCAAAGGATAATGCTGTTTTTGAAATTATCTCCGATATTATCTTGTGAACTCATTTTTATTGCCCATTATTAACTTATAATTCACAATTTACATTATGGATAAATACCTGAGTTCAAAAAAAAATTAGATGGACCCAGGAAATTTGACAAGACATTTTTCCCTTTTTGTCAAAATTCGTTTTTTGGCTCTTTTCTAGCATCAACTTTATTCATCATAAAAAAACAGAATTTTCCTTTTCTTTTTCAAACGAAACAAATTTCATCATCATAATCCCCAATTCTTTCATTTCTAAGTAACGATTTGTCGATCTCTTCTAATTAACTTCTTTTAAATTGTTACCTCAAACCTGAAAATTTTTCTCCCCCTGAAAAAAATCATTTCCAGTCGCCAATTACCATGTTTCTATGATAAAACAAAAACCCAATTTTCGTACAAGCAATCAAAGGTTAATCAGTGGAACAAAACTTGTTAATTTCACATTTAATTCAATAACTCTGTTCAACTCTTGTATATCAACGATGTTTCACACCCTTTATACATTATGATTACCTTTTTTGCTGATCATCTCATTTAATACATCCATTTTTCCGCTTCAACATTGATCCATTTTTTAACATTATTGTCGCCATTGTCTCTTTACTAAATGTTTTTCTAGAAACAACGTAAAAAAAGAATCAAAAGATTGCTTCGAGAAAATCTTGTTTACTAGTCTAATTACACTTTTTTGGTACAGTTTTTTTTCATGTTGCAGCCAATCTACCTTTCATTTAATAAAATCTCATTTCTCGTCTGTTTAATCGATTAATTTGATCTTTTCGGGGCAACTTTTAAACCTATGGAAATAAAATAACGCAAAGGCAAACATTTATTGCTATAACTTTATTTTTTGAATGACTTCCAACAACAATTATATCTACAGAATTAATCAAACATACGTAATGTTAATAAAGGACAAAAATCAGTATAATGTCATTGTTATCAACTCTGCTATTATCTATAAATTTTGTTATTGCTCATCCGACTGATTTCATTTGATTGCTGCAGTAGTTGTAGTTAGCATTTAGATAGACTGACCGAGAACTTTGCTTCTGATTATGTTTTGCTCTTTATGATATCTCTTAATTTTTATCGTCTATTACAATTTACGAAGAAATATTGGAATGGAGGTTTAATTTTTGCGTTGAATAAGCTGGGTCATTTAGATTTCGATGAGTTGATGAACAATTGAATTTAAATTGAGTTTTGTTTGTGTTTATAAACTAGATTCAGCCTACTCTTGTCCTCAATCATTCAAATGCGGGAGTTAGAAGCAATCAACTAGTAAATTAATGTCGAGGTAACAAAATAATTATGATAGTTATACTGCAATTATTAAAAATTTAGTTTTATTAACCCATGATTAACAGATGTTGACCTTCTTATACTTTGCTAGACAAAAATATCTAACAATACTGAATGTACCAAAAAAGTAATAAAATTACAAATAATTGTGACATAACCTGACAAAGGTAACGAGTATAAAAAATTAAGTCAAAGGCAACGAAAAATTGACTTTTTTACAATTTAGCTGGCACTGGAGAGGAAGACTATTTATTGGCAGAGTTGATTAGAATTTCATTTTTCTTCATTTCCTCTTTTAATTCTCTAACAGCTCGGTAATATTGTCGTTGTCTCTCAATTAGATCAACATAAACTTCATTCAATTGATCTTTGCGCATTTTTTCAACTTGCTTCTTCTTTTCAACTTTGACCTTGGCTTGGTTAATATTTTCCACAATTTGTTCAAATTGAGACAAAAATTGATCCCTTGTTTGTGGACTTGTATTGGCACTGAAATTGATAAATAGAAAGGTTTAAAATTTATGATCTCAGAGTTATGAAATAGAAGTAAAGTCTGAACAAGATTGACTTACTGATTGTAATTATTTAAAATGGAGTCCAAAAGAGTCAACTCTTTATCAAGATGAACTCTAGAGTCTTCCAATTGATTATACAGAATATAAAATTTCTTGGTTTCATTATGTTTAGCAGCAACTGAAATGCGGATAAAATTATCTTAATTAGACAAATATTGACTCGGATTAGTGAATGATGATTGAGTATCTTAAATACAAAATCATAGCACAATATAAGGTAAACAGCATTAGATATATTTTCAGCTTCACCTTGATTATATAATTCAACCAGACGTTTTTGATATTGATTTAATTCAGCTCTGGATGGGATATCATCAAGTTTACGGTGTAACATGGCAACCTCTTTGTTTTTTTCAGCTAATTGTAACTTAATTTTACGGAATTTTTCCCGTTCCTCTTCCAATTGTTGTGAAATTTCATCTTCATCTCCACTTTCCGATAATTGATTTACTAAAGCTTCATATTCCTTTTCAAGGCGCTTCTTTTCTTGCTTACAGGTTTGATGGAAAAGATCTTTTTCCTTTTTTAATTTATCCAACAAGAGTGATAAATGTTTCCTTTCTTCACGCTCATTCTCATCCATGGTTTGAACTTTTAAACTGAATTGTTGCTGTTCATCTCGGATTGCCTCGATTTCGGATTTTAAATTTGATAATGTTTCATTATTTTCTTTTTCAATATTCATGGCCTGTAAAGTGAAGGAAATACAATGAAAAACAAATTAAAGGAAGAAGATTTAATTGCATTGAAAAAAATGGTCCAATAATTACCTCTTCAACTCTTTTATTGTAATCATCCAGAGTTTCACGCAATGTTTTCTCACGATATTCTAGTGAATTTTCTTTCAACTTTTGTTGATTCCTTGTATAATCTTCAGCAATTTGTCTAAGCTCTTCATATTTTTCACTCAAGATTGATCCGACAATATTTGAGCTGATTTTGAGCTAAAAAATAAATAAAACGAATCAATAGATTGAACACGAAATAATCCAATTCCTTCAACCCTTTTTGAGCAACATTTACATTTATATCTTGCTGCATTCCATCAATCAAATGAGCATTTTCCTTGGCATCTGAAGATTCATTGGTGGACGACTTTTCACTGTTAGTTGTTTCGTTTTCAACGTCAGCTAATCTATGATTTATAGAAAAAAAAATTTGATGTCAATATTTAATATTGGTTCAGAATAAATAACTCGGTTATACTGCAATTACCCTTTATATTCAAGAATCGTTATTTTAACATTAGTTTTGGGATCTTTTATATTTGACTTGTTTGGGTGACGATATTTTCTGACTGGAGAGGTATCAGGATCTTTATGGACAAAATCGTATTTGGCAATTTCCTGAGCTGATATCCTTTCACGGTCCTTTAGATAAAAAGAAATAATATTGGAACGATTACAATATTAATTACATAAAACGGAGAAGGTCATTTGCAAAAAACAACTAAAGTTACGTACTATAGCTAGATCGTGATCCTTGTTGAACATCCTAACAGCAAAGCTTTTCATATAAGCTTCATTTTCTTGTCGATATTGAATAGACATTTTTACAAGCCATTGAACCACAGGAAATATGTGCTTACTGTCCATTCCTTGGATTTGGTGAGGTTCTAACGCAAATGGACATTTCATTCTTTTCAAAGCTTTTACAATTTTCTCGGTCAAGGCACTAAATGAATATGAGATTATAATTAGTTCTTTTTCATCTTCAATGATTGAATTTGTGAACTTACATTTTCTGTCCAATGGTCAAATTTTCGCTATACATCAGATCAATATCAATATCTACACTGCACATTATTATGCACCAAGTCATCCCACCTATCACCTGTAAAGATAGAGAAAAATTGGTAAATAAATGGTAAACAGTTGAACCAAACTCAATCCTACCTTGTCAAAATCTGTCAATCCTTTGATACGAGCTCTAAAGTAACCGGCTGCAATCAAAATTTGAATAATCTCTTGAAATTTTTGGTACTGCTCTTCATCTTCTCGGACGTCAAACTTGAGCAATCGCCCACCGGAATCTGTGTTCATTTCACTCATGTTAACCTTGGAAATTAACTGTGCTCAAATATCCGAACAATGATGATCAATGCATGCTAACAACAGCTCTTGAAATACTGAAAATTGAATAGCTAATGAATTTAGCTACTCAGTTACAATGACAATGGGGTGGGTAGAGTTGAGTCAGAATAAACTGATCAAGAAAGTCAAGAAAAATTAAATTGACCAATTAAAGTAAACATTGAATTAGCAAAAAACCACAAAGTATAAAATTCAATTTGCATAAGATTGGAATCCAACAGTAGAATAAAGATTAGAAACCAACAGATGAATTTTCCTTGATGGTTTGTTTGGTTAGAGGAGTAAAATCAGTGAAATTATTATCACAATGATGACAATTGATAGTTGATGTTGGAAGATATAGTTACATGTAGTAATAAGCTACCGTTTATCAATAAAGCAATGGATATTGACACATGAAGGAATGAAGGAAAAATAGAACTAGATGTCAAAGAAAAATAAATAAATTAACACGAGTAATTGTCAAAAAAGAAACACGTTAATGAAAAATTTAATTACGGTTTTGTAATTGTTGTTGTTTATATCTGCCAAAAAAATGAAAACAGTTCATATGTTAGTGGTAACCTAGGAGACGTGGCAAACCAAACGTGGCAAAGGGAGCTTGAAATATTGTTTAATCCTGGTTTGTTTTGACCACTGTTTACCTAAATTTTTCCCTTTATCCTTATTCCTTGATCAATTTTTTATTCTTAGTTATTGTTTTGTTTGTTTAATCTCTTGTTGTGAATATACTGTGATAATTTTTTATCATCTGGGTTAGCCTGTGCTCAGTTTTTCTATGATCATCAAAGTGGCTTGAATCAGATTAATTGAGTGAAATAAAATATAGTCACCAATAGGAAGGATATAAAAATCTAAAATGTTGGATTTTTTTGTGATCTTCTCCAAAGGAGGTATTGTCCTGTTTGCCACTGTTAACCAAGCAATTTCACAAGTAGTCAATAAGCTAATTAAACACGTTATTCTCGAAGAGAGAAGAGATGAGTTTACTTGTGACAATTTGGCTCTCAAATATCATCTGGATAATGAATTTGACCTGGTTTTTGTGGTTGGTTACCAGAAAATGCTGACTTTATCCTATGTGGATAAATTTCTGGATGATATTCAGCTTGCTTTTCGAGACAAATTCACTGATTATGATTTGAGGAAGATACTGAAATCTAAAGGGAATGGACAACATCTAGCTTCATCTTTAGGCGATTCTGTATCAAATTCATCTTCGTTGTCATCACCCGAATCATCATCATTGTTATCTTCGTTGAATCTTGTTGATTTTTATCATGAATACAAAATTATTTATACACGATGCTGTAAACAGCAACAAAATATACCTCAACCAGAAATGAGATCGTTTCAACAGTCCACAAAATCCCAGAAGACTGTCAAATCAATGATTATCCAATCAAGCAAAATTTCAATACCAACTCCAGTTGCACCTATTGTTGCACCTAAAGTTGAATCTAAGCCTGAGTCTGTACCTATCCTGGCGAAGCTATCCCCTCGAGGAGTAAGACCTGAAAAGCCTAAAAAGAAGGAGGCCAAGGTTAGACATTTGCAAAGTTTATTTGTTTATTTCTCTCTGAATGTCCGATCTATAATAATTATTTTCTTCTTTCATTTTACCACTACAGCCTATTCCAAAAGGAAAGAAAGCAAAAGAGGCTCGTCAATGGGAACTTGGTGGTAAAAGCTCTGACGATCTTGACTTTAGTAAAAAGACAAATGGAGCCGTTGAAAACACTTCTTCGATTGCCAAAAATATTGCTTCTGGGGACATCGGAGCCACAATTGAAGAATGCGATGTCGAACCAGACCTTGAATTTGAATGTAGCGACGAAGAAGAGGAAGAAGATGATGTTGAAATTGCTTCTTCAACCAATAAGAAATCATTCTTTGGATCTCTTATTAAAAGCATGTCTATCAACAAAGCATTGACGCGCGCTGATTTGGATCCAATTTTGAACCAACTTCGTGATCATTTGATTTCAAAGAATGTAGCAGCCGAAATCGCAACCAAACTTTGTGATAGTGTTGCTACTAAATTGGAAGGACAAACTGTCAATACTTGGATTGGGTTGAAATCATTTGTGCGAAATGCTCTGGAAGAGTCCATGCTTCGAATTCTCAGTCCTAATCGGAATCTCAATATACTTCGGGATATTCGAGCCAAATCAGTTCCACCTTACGTTATTGTCTTCTGTGGAGTCAATGGTGTTGGTAAATCGACCAATTTGGCAAAAATCGCAAACTGGCTGGTTGTTAATGGCAACAAAGTTTTAATTGTTGCTTGTGATACTTTCCGAGCCGGTGCCATCGAACAACTTCGAACACATGTAACAGCATTGAAGACTATCCATGAAAGAGATGGGGCGAAGAAAATTGATCTTTATGAGAAAGGTTACGGTAAAGATTCTGCTGCTATTGCCATGGAAGCAATTAATTATGCCCGCACTTCTGGATACACAGTTTGCCTTGTTGATACAGCAGGTCGAATGCAAGATAATGAACCATTAATGAAACAGTTGGCTAAGTTGATCAAAATCAATGAACCTGATCTAACTTTGTTTGTTGGTGAAGCTTTGGTTGGAAATGAAGCGGTTGACCAACTTGGCAAATTCAATACAGCTCTATTGGACAATGGCTGTCGAGGGGTCACTTCGAACGCATCTGCCATCAATGGTATTGTTTTGACTAAATTTGATACCATTGACGATCAAGTTGGTGCAGCCATTTCAATGACTTACATTACAGGACAACCAATTGTTTTTGTCGGTGTTGGCCAAACTTACAAAGATTTGAAACAACTTAATGCTAAAGCAGTGGTTAAAGCTCTTATGAAATAGAGATTTATCTGAATAAGTGCAAGAAGTTTTTACCAGTTGATAAAAACAAACTGAAAAATAAACCGAAATAATATAATAAAAACAATATAAATTGAACTGAAAGATTAAATATTTCAACGGTTGTTTATTTAAAGAATTGTTTACTGAAAAACTAAAAAAAGATGATGAATTGCATGGAAACAAAAATTGACAAGAGTCAGTAAAGTAGCAAAAGTTATGTATAAATATATTTTTCAGTCCATGCAATTTACAATGTGATACAATAAGAAATGTTGGAAGGATGATGGACATGAGATTTACAATATTTCTTTTCTGTATTATTTTATTCATCATCCGACAAAAAGTCGTTTTCATTTAGATCAAAATTAGGATCACTTGGTACATTAGCAATAGAATCATTCAGCTTGAGGTTAAAATCATCGATTAAAAGATCATCATCATCTTCGTTGAATTTAAATTCTTCATCATCTGTGAGTAATGTTTCTTCTCGTTCCATTAGAAAACTATCTTCAGAAGTAACCGGGTCTTGAGAGGCTTGAGCTGATTCAAAATCAAAATCACCAGCTTCGCGATTGTCACTTTCATCATCTCTTGGTCTTTTAGACAAAAATTTGTCAATTTTCCCATAGAAAGACTTTTTAGCTGCTTTACGGGCTAAATTGGCTTCACTGAAGTTATCCTTAGTCAGACCGACCTTATTGAGGACTTTGAATTTTTGATTAATTAGTGGCCAAATGTGGTCATCAACAGTAGCAGGCGCAATTAGATATTGAATCAAAACGGAATCTTTTTGTCCTATCCTGTGAGCTCGATCTTCTGCTTGAGTAAGAACTCCTGGATTGAAATAAAGTTCGGCAAAAACTACTAGTTGGGCAGCAGTTAAGGTGATTCCCATACCAGCCGAGGTAATACCAATAACAGCTACTTTACACTTTTCTTGATTTTGAAAATAATCACAGCATTCTTGCCTACACTCGGAAGGTGTACTACCATCAATACGAATATAACTCACTCTTTGTTCCTCCAAAACGCTACAGATTGAATCAAGCATTACTTTATGATGAGCAAAACAAATGAATTTTTTGTCTTGTTCTACCAGCTCACAAACATATTTACATACTGGTTCCTTTTTAACTTCAGCGGTAGAAGAATACCATTGGAAAACAATGTTACGTTGCTCAGGACGGTTAAGTTCTTCCACAGTTGTAGCTTGAACTTGGCTTTTAAATGAAGCCATTAACTGTTTTGCTTTTTGTGGTAAAGTAATATCCAACATTACAACTGCTCTTCTTTTCGGTGGCAGTTCTTGTAAAACATCAACTTTTAACCTCCTAATCATAATAGTTGTCTCTAATAAGATTCTTAGCTCATCTGGATTGCTCGTTCCTCTATAGTCATATCCCCATTGAGTCGCTTTGCCATCACAATATCTCATGCCAAAATCATGTTTCTTAGCAAATGTTTTCGGATCTACTGCTTGAAGTTGTGTAAATAATTCCATTGGTCGAGATAAAGCAGGAGTTCCTGAGAGTAGTAAAACTCTTTTACAAGCTTTTATAAGCTTGAGTGCCGTTTTAGTCCTTTGAGCAGCATCGTTTTTAATGAAATGACTTTCATCGAGAATTATTGATTTGAAAGAATTGGCAGTATCAGGCTTAACTCTGAGAAGAAGATCGTAGCTGATAATTACTATTCTATTGACAGGAATATCTTTACGTCCATCAACAACTACATCAATGTCAATATCTTCTCGAACACAATCAAGCCATTCACCGATCGATCTTTTCCATTGAAATCTTAATGAGGAAGGACAGACGATGAGTAATGGCCAATCATCACGAAAATAATATGAAATAGCAATAGCTTGAATAGTTTTACCAAGACCCATGTCATCACCAATGAGACATCTTCCATTACGACTAATAGCAAATGCCACACCATCTTTTTGGAAAGGATAAAGGGCTTCAAACAACCTTTTGGGTAAAACTGCTGACAAGTCTATGGTAGATTTAGGTCTTTTTGTTTCTTTTAGTAAAGCTTGGATAACGAATTCTGGTATTCCTTGAAGTAGATCCAATTCGATGTTATTGGTTTGTTTCAATTTTGTAAGGTTTGACAGCAAATTACGATAATGTTGTAGTTCAAAATGCCAATTGCGGGTTTTGGAATCGAAATTGGAGCCAGGAATTGCACGACAAACTTCTACTATCACAGGATTGTATGGGAAACTCATTTCGAATCTATCTTTTGATTTTAAAATAAATTTAACGGCAACACGAACAGGCACACTTGGAACAGTTGGTTTAACAGTTGGAACTTGCACAGGTTTATTCACAAAAGAAGCACTTGGAGCTTGTTTTGGACCAGGCCCAGAACTAGCAGCAGACCTAGAACCAGAACTAGCAACAGTACCAGCATTAGCTTGAGCTTGAGCTCGAATCTTCTCCTTTTCAGCTCTTTTTCTCAAAGCTTCCAGTCTATTTTGTTCAATCCTTTTCTTCTGCTCCTCTGTTAAGGCCATGACAGCAGGAATAGTCACAATTTAAATTGATCAAATTAATTAAAAGAAGAATAAAACTGGCTCACAGCAATGAAAGTTAACATGCATAAAAGAAATAATGTTTACAGTGAATTCAAATCTGCAAGTGAAAATAGACCGAGAATAAAATCTAACAGCTGTTTTTAGAAAGTTGTCGTTTGTTTGTAAGATTACAAATACAGGCCAATTGCAACTTTTCGCAAATTGCTCGTAATTTGTCAAGCAAATATCAAAATTTCAATTTATTTATCTTCAGAAAGTAATTTCATTATCTCTTTCTCTATATTATTGCATTACGTATAATAATCTATTGGAAGTTGTAATATCTTTTATAGAACTAATTAGAAACCTAAATAAAACATGAGACCATAAATTAATATTTTGTCGCAGTGATTTTTTAATTTTACAGTTTTAAATTTGGCTATGGCACAAACTTTAATTTTAATTTCTTTTTCTTTAAATCTCGTAAAATTGATGTTATGCGGGTTTATCGGCCCTAAACACGATTGGAGATCAAGACAACATCATGCATAAGGACAAGCGATAAAGAGTACAAATAATTTTGTAGTAAATCTACATTTATTGTGTGTACAGGTTTCTGTGTTTATAATTCGACAATTAGCTCAATACATTGTCTTTCACTAAATGAAACAGAATATAAGAGAGTTTTAACGTAAATTAATTTAATTCTAGCAACTTTATTCTTTGCGTTTATCGCCTTTATTCCAACTGTAAGTAACAGGATTCTCAGGAAGTTCATTTTCTTCTGGAGGTGGATAACGCTTCTTCATAGAAACTTTAGCAGCAAGGAAAGTATCACCGAAGTCATTATTAGCAGCGTGCCATTCCCATTTATAACCATAAGGAGTATTTCGAGGAACCCTGACATATTCACGGGAACATTCTTCAATCTCTTCTGGAGTCATTGGCTCAAAAGAGATTGATCTCTCTTTAATTCTAGGATGCCTTCGATCATATATATTGAGACTCTCCCCAGCCCTTAGATAATGAGCTACACCACTGGATTGATCAGTCGTTACATCAAGAAATCTAACTTCATTGGTAAATTGAGTCTCTTGAGCTTCAACTAGCGATACGTTTGCACCAAATATACGGAAAAATCGATTTCGAACTAGAAAACATGGACTCTTAGGATCTTTGAATTTTGGCAGTTCAATCATGTGACTTTTATGAAGCCCTGTAAATAAGAAGAAGTTATTAAATTCACGTAAATAACGATTTAAACATTCAGTTCAAGTAGTATGCATCAAATTACAGGTTTAGCATTGCACTTACATATATTACGTGGATCTCGAGGATCCAGAGGAGCTCGCATTTTGAACATTTCCATTTTCTAGTTGCTTGATTGAAGTCTAAGCTTCAATGGGACGAGATTTGTAATTAAAATAATTAAACAAAACAATATAGATGGATAAAAAACAACCAAAATCCAAAACAAATATGACTTTCAAACCAAAACTTACATACAGTGACATCTATAGAAAAGCAAAAGATCTAATCCAAGGAGGTTTAATCAATTATTTATTTAACAATTTATGATCAATTCCATAAATACTGTAAACTGCCGAATCACAAACTTAGTCTGTTTCTTGGTGTATCATGAACATTAAGTCCACCAATTCAAAGACAACCCTCTGAATGTCACAGTGAATCAATACGCCATCGAGCTCAAAAATCTCTGTTTTGAGTGAATACAAAAAAGTGTTGATTTCTTATCCAAATGGTGAATCTGGGCTATTTTCGAAAGCTAATCCATTTGATTTAAGGACAATAAAAGCCAAGCCTTAAAGACAACCAAGAAACCGAAATAGAGTCAAGTCATGGTCTGATTATACTTCAGTCCAACAAGTCAATTATTAATGAAGCAGCTAACAAAAAGAAACAAATAGCAACTTTTTTATTCATCCTTTGCCGTCTTCATCTAATCCTTTATTTGAAACCCTTAACCTGACAAAATAATTTACTTTTGTTACCCTTTTCCGTTGTTTAGGTTCAATTAAAACTCGTTTTAGTTAACCTCTTCCCGCCCAAAACAAAACCAGGGTTAAGGTTAACACAGTTACAAGTGAGTCAACTGAAAACCAACAATTGTGATTAATCTTCAACCAAACTATTCTGCTTTCATGGAGAAGCTTTTATCTTTAAATTAATCATGTCAAAAATTTAATTTCAGCTTCTCAAAATGTTGGATATAGCTCATCACATCAAAAAAATTTCAAATTAACAACTTGTTTCTTTAACACTTGTGTGTCTCCGCATCTTCCACATACTTCACCATTGAAAGCTTCAGATGAACTCATTTTCATTGTTGTCTCTGGGTAAGTAATTGATTCTTAAAGTGGAATTTGTCCCTATCTAATTCAACTCTCATGTTGAACTAAATGTTTGAACATTTGAGTTACCACTCAAAATGACTAGGTTTATTAGTAACCTTGATCAGCGTCAATTGATGTCTAAAGATTGAACTATGATGTTGGATATGATGTAAAAAGATGTAAAGAGTGAAAAAGATCAGTTATATCACACTGTTCATCCGCACTGATTCATTTCAAGTGGTATTATAAAGTTGTCAAAATTACCATTTCCTATGTCAACTGAAGACATCATGCAATTATCAACCAATTGTTTTAACCTTCAATTCCATCTCTCACTTGAATCTTTAATCTTTCATTGAAAATCCGTTATGGAGACAGAATCATTTGGTTATGTATCAATACATTTGACCAAAAAGATCATTTTACAAAACCTATCTCAAAGGTTACCATTTTTAGTTTTACATGGAACCAAAGAAAACCGAAAAAGCATTTTTAAGATTTTCTAGATAAGATAAAAATTCTAATATTGAAAAGCAGACTTGTCATCGGTTAAAAAATTGACTTAATCTCTATTGGCTGTTTATAAGTGCCAACAAAATGTAACCTCAATTTAATTTCTTTGGTTGCAAAAAACCTTCAACTTTATGATTCACCATTTTCACAGAGTTGATGATTTTAACAAATGAACTGTTAAATCCATTTCAATCTAGTGGGATGATTAACGATTAATGACCAACAAATGTTAATTTCATTAAAACACAGCAACAATCATCATGATTTCATGAAAATGACTTTTTCAAGTGAACAACCATCAGTAACTTGCTATTTACTTTACTTTTATTATGCTTCTCTTAATCAACAGTTGGACTCCATTGGAAATTATTTCCAAGATTCTAATGATTCTCTTATTTTCATTGTTCTCTCTCTGTTTCTTTGTAGCCCATTTAGATTATCATCATTAGTAAAACAAGTCTGTTTAAACACTTTTTCTTTCTTTACGTTGATTATAAAATTTTTGTTGATCATTTTCATGTTTCTCTCCTCTTGTTGACAATCTGGTGTTTAAGTTGCGTGTTAATGTTGGTGTTGTGAATGTTAAACACGCATGACAACCTCAATCAACAGTAAATTTTCATCAACATCAATTGACATACAGTCAACAGAGGATACTTCGAACACAGCTAACCTCGCCTATCTCTTACCTCATCCTGACTTGTTTCTCTGTCTTTTTCTCCTCATCTCTTTCTTTTTCTCACTCTGTGTTTTGTTTTCATGACTCTCCCTTATTTCTTGTTTTTTTCTTATGTTAACTTTTAATGCAACTCGATTTTCATGTGTCCATCTAAAATTCTTATCAACCCAAGTTAATCATCTTTAATTCTCTATTTTTTGCTTCTTCTAGTGCTGTGTTCCTTGGATTACATCCTCATGTAGCATGTGTTTTTTTTGGTAAACCAAGAAATCTAAACAAGCGAGTAAAAGATGTTGTTATATTTGTTTGGTTATAACGGTTTTTTCGCTCTATTCTTTCATTTCACTTTGCTTCAAGTGTGAACAAAATCTAAATCCTTTTAGATTGTTTTGGTTCTCAGAGCTTCGCTTATCGGTTACCCTTTGTTACATTACTTAACCCTTCTCGTCAACTTGTAAATTGGATTTGTATTATCCACCAAATGGGCAAAGAACAAGAATTTTTAGAAGCTGCTAAAAATTGTACTCTACCGGTTGTTAAAAGAATAATCAATCATAAGATTAAAAAAATTGGTTCCTTATCGAAGTAAGTATCGTATATTTATGCTATTTATCTCCCAAATTCAACCCAATATCTGTTCTGGTTAGAGTATAAATATTCCAAAGAATCTCGCAGCAAAATTGATATCATTGAATTCTTAAATTACAAGACCAACTCATATTTAAACCATGGATTATTTACAAACCATAACTTAGATGATAAAATAGAACTGACTAATTCACACTGATATGATTCATTATGTATTACAATCAGATGTGATCAATCTGCTGCATGTATTTCAATAGTCTTGCCTTAGTCTTCTTATCTTTCCTTATTCTCTTTCTTTTGCTGCCTCCACCTTCATCCTTTTCTGTCTCTGTAAAATGCATCATCTTGTTTACTTATTCTAGGTCATGGTAAAATGATAATTTTTTTAGTTTCGTTTTGCTCATTAACTTTTTCTCATTATGTATTTTCTCTGACCTTTTTTTTTCTTTCATTATGACCAGGAACAATGATGGTTATAAAACAGCCAAAAGTGGCTTTTCGCGATCTCAAGAATCTATCCTAGATGGTTTTTCAACACCACCTTCAACCAGTCATCAATCAAATTCTCATCATTTCCAGTCTCACCACAAACAACCTCATCATTATCCCCCACACAGTCATCAGTACCAACACCATGCGTCTACGTCTTATATTAATTTAGATCCTCCCTCGGTCCCGATTGGTCGGGATGTTCTTCAATTAACACGTACCAGTAAATCAGTTGATTCTGATTCAATTGACATTAATGGTCGAGGAGCTCATTCCTTAAGCATTTATCCACAATCATCTTCATTGAATGGTGAAACTTATGGTTATCAAAAGATTAATCAGAATACTGGTTCTAGAGATGATTCCAGATTAGATACTAAATCTTCGACCAATACTTGGGGATACAACTCAATACAACGGAGATCCGGCAACAAGCCACTTCCTCCAGCAAAACCACCCAGAAAATCATTAGCAAACAAAGATGCTAACAATGTATCAACCTTGGACCGAAAAAGTGCACAAATTAATGGACAATTTCAATCTCAACAAGAATCAACAACAAAGCAATATTTTTCCGCAAAAAATCATCAAACTAATTCAAAAAGAATCTCAAGTTTTGATTATGTCAGTGATTCTGGCCTTAGTTCCGGTGAAGGTTGTATGAAAAGGTCACTGAGTAATGATGGGGGTGATTATTTGGAAAGTAGAAGTTTTTCCAACAATCAAAGACTCTCAACATTCTTAGGGCCTGTCAAAATGCCCGAGCCAACCTCTTCCGTTAACGTTTCGTCAAATAATATCTCTTTGTTATCATCATCTTCAATAACACCTACAACTGCAATAAAAGACACCAGCACAGCCCAATTAACCAATTCAATTATTCCTTCAGGTTTAACTTCCGTTGCAAAGCCGGCAGCAAACAATAGCGAATTTATATCGGAAAGTGCATTAAGTCTATTGTATGATGAGATCGCTAGCGAAATAAGTGGCCGAGAAACCAATTCCTCGCTAGTTTCATCCATCAACTCCGTTACATCCCTTGAACCAGAAAGTTCAAGTTCAGTTAATCCAGGAGAATCAAGACGAAGATCAATAAAAGAAGGATCAACGCACCAATTGCAACAACATGTTCGCTCCAAATCTGAACAACATCATTCAAGGAGTCTAAATAATTCTGAAGAAAAATCCAATGGTACCAAAGAACCCGATGCAATATCATGTTCTCCATCTTCGTCAAATAGCAATCATTCAAACCAACAACCAAGTCAATCTACAGAGCCGACTAAATCAAAACGAGTTACCGTGCAATTTCCAGTTAATTTTAAAAGTTTAACACGTAAAAGCTCGAAACAATTTGAGCCTCCATCGCCAGAAACGGCGTTAAAAGGAATCCATGCTGTGATAGAACCATTATATCAGGTGATTTACTTTTCTTTAGATTTCTTCAAATATCTTCTTCAGTCAAAACTGAATATCATCTCTAACCATAATTTTAATTACATTATCCAAGTAAACATCAAACCAATAGCAATATTTTCCTGCATGGCTATTGATCATTTTTTTTTTAATATTATTTTATCATTTAATTGTTATTTTGTTTTATTTTTGTTTTATTCTTTCCTGTTTTTAATCAATTTAACTAACTTTAAAACAATAGATGCACGATAATTATGATGAAGCATGTATTCCAATGCATAAACCTGCTAGTCTCCAAATGATTTGGTCTCAATTTGATTATCAACTTTTAACTGCTGATTTTGATCGTTATTCTAATATAATTGAGCTTAAAAAGGTAAGTTTTGTGTTGAACTGATGTCTTTTATTTTATGTTTTCAGATTTAATGAAATTTTTTTTCTGGTGTTTGCTCAGCAATCTGAAAATTGAATGTTAACTTTCAATGAAAAGTCTCAATATAATTGCCAAAATCTCTTTAGATATTACTCATCTCAATTAGTCTCTTAGGGATGAATTTTATTCATCTTTTATCCATTTTTATTTGCAATACTGTTTAATGTCAACTTCATTTTGGCATCAATCAATAATGATCAATAACAATTATGAGCAACTTTAAGTTTATCACGATTGTTATTATCAATTATGTAAACAATGGTCCATCCAGGATTTGAGAGATTTCATCAGAATAAGCATTCGAATCATCTTGTTGATTAGATTGTCTCGTTATACGATACAAGTTATATGATATAACTTCTGCCATTAGCTAACATTCAACATGACACAATGAATTTCTAATTCATTCTTTATCACTTATTCTGTATCAACCTTATTTTTTGACAGTTTCTTTTACATTTGGCAGTCAAAAGACATGTTTTGCTGATAAAATCAATTAAATTTTCTCTGTAATTATTTTGATGACTCTTTCAATTCGCTTCTCTTTTTTTGTATTCAGCCTAACAGGCTCATTCATCCGGCTTAGCTTCCGGCTTAATTGTGAGCTCTTTTTACTTTCTTGTCTTACTTTTGTGTTAAAAATGTCCGTTTCGTTTTACCAATGTAACTACAAGAGCCAAACCTAGTGACCCTAAACCAACGGTCTTTTGGAGGAAAGGTTAATTGTATCTTCCTTTCATTTTAATTCCGGTTCTTTTTGCTTATCCACTGCTGTGTACGTTAAAAGCTTTGATTGTGTCCTGATAATTTTATATTTTTTTAAATATCAATCTGCTCTTTTTAGTCAACCTGATTTTGCCTTTCACCATTTTGTTATTTAATTATTCCATATCATAATCATGATTAAGATTTCAATTTGTTTATGATTACAGACTGTTGGTTAATACAAATTGAAATAACTAGAGCTTGTTCATCCCTCTAATGTTTTTTTTGGTTGTTGATGTGATCAACCTGAGCATGCTTTATGCCGATTGTCTTTTAATTTTTGAGTGATCTTATTCTAATTTTGCAATTACTTAATCATCTACTTTATTCAAATTACTATTCATTGTTATAACTCTGTTATTGATAAATATTTTGTTGCTTGTGTTTGTTTCATTTAGGAGTATCAAAAATTGAAAGTTCCTCATTATCGAGACATGGAAACGTCAACTGATGATGATCTCCTATTGACAACTGACTCTGATGGGAATCAGGTGTATGTTAAATTGAGGCATCCTCGAAGCCGAAATAGCCTAGAAAACAAGACCGTTTCCACTGATAATGAATCAATCGGATGTGGGGAAGAGAATCCGTTCCAAGGTAAATTAAACACAATTGAACACAAAGCAGTGTATAATTTGTAAAATTCTGCAGTGTTCATTTCTGCAAAAATTGACTATTGTTTTACTAACTGCTATTTTCTCTCTTTATTCATACAGAATTATGTAGAGGTTCCAAATCATTAAGGCATAGTGATAATTCTCAACTCGATGGTAAAAAATCCCTTCGCCGAAGTAAAGTTGTTGAAAGTAAAACCTTGGAAAGGAAGAAAAAGAAACATCGTTTAAGTTCAAGAAGCAAGAGTGAAAAGTCTTTGAACGAACCAATGTCAACCACAACCATAGATACCATAGACGCCATCAACGATCCCCTTACAGTTGAAAAATGTGACTCTACCATTCCATCTGAATTGAAATCTGTTGCTGTTACAAGTGGAGAGCGCTCAAGTTCAATGATTCACACATTACCAAGCATTGTTTTCGATGAAAACAAAGAGTGGGCTGAAATAGCCAGTATCATGGCTTCCTTTGGAAGTGACTTGACCCAAAGTACGGATGAGTTTTGTCGTCAAACCATTCCTGAACCATTGTCCATTGATAGTATAACTTCATTTGATGAATGGCTCAAAGAGTTGGATCTACAAAAATATGCCAACATTTTAATATCAAATGGATTTGATAATGTGCAATTTATGGTGAGTGATAAATAACAACTTATCAAATTACGTAAATCTTATTATTCAATTTCATTTAGAATTGAAAGTATTATATTGTTTTTTTCCTGTTTGCTGTTGAAAGGTTGCAAAAAATGAAAAAAATAGCGTTACAAAAGTTGGTCGGAAATAGCTAAAATTAGTTTCATTTCAATTGTTCAATCGACACTGGGATTCTGCTCAACAGATCTTTCCCTGGTTCTAACCAACTTATCAGTTCTACATTTAACCTTAACCTAGTTTGTTTTTCCTGTTAACAGCTACTGTTTCACATGTTGTTTAGCTACTTGTTATGAACCCCATCAACCAAGTTTAACTTATCTCTTTTCCTCTCAGTGATTACATTTTCTTTTTGATTCATTTCCAATTCAGCAAAGTATCTGGCATTTGTTAGTAAATCCCTGCAATCAATAATCCTAATCAGTTCACTTTGCTCCTCTCAACACAAGAAAATGTTAAAATGTTCCCTTTATTTATGAATATTTTCATGCCAACAGTAAGTTGTAAATCCTATCCTTATTTCTGTCAGAATTTATCATTTTCCTCTTTTTACTCGATATTTACCCGATAACTTCATTTCACTGACAAGTGAGTTGCATAAATGAACACCAATTTAATTTTGTATTCTTTCACTTAATTTCTTAATTCTTTGTGATTAACTTTTCCTGTATTATTTTCTTGCAAATTCACCCATTTCAATTTAATTATATTTGCATTACGATAACATTTTAATTGCAAGTATCCGGTAATTTTGTTATCAAAAGCTCGGTCACAATGTTTTTTGTTGTTGACTAACTCCTGATGACTATCATAATAACGATCTTCAATGATAATGAACATACGTTAGCGTGAATTCCTTTCATTCTAGCTTAACTAATTCACCATGTCTTGTCCAAAAGAAAATTGTTTACTTGAATTTGCATAAGTTGAATGAGCCGCACTATTTTTAGAAGTTGACTTTTCCTTTGACTTTTTTACCAGCTTTTTTGTTTCGCTTTTAGTTTTTCAATCACAAGTCAACTTAAAATTGTTATTTTGTGTTGATATTTATTCTTCTTTTTATTTTCAAGTCATGGAGGCTTTTCTTGAATATCATGATAATAAAAGAGTGTAACAAGTTTTGGATCATCTTTCAAAATCAACCTGAAAATTGGATGATTTGAGTTTGTTGATCAAACACTTGATCTATTGACCTTTCCTTTGCCTGTCATAGTAAACAATTGATTTTATTTGCATTAAACTTTTTTCAAATCTTATTTGGTTTGCTAATTGTCTAGTTTCTATGCTTCCATTGTTTCAATAGTAAAGACAGTTGTAACAAATTTCCATCTGATTGATAGGCTCTTGAATTTTTTGTCAAATTTTAATTTGCAAAAAGATTGATTGACGGAAATTTTGCTGCTTCATTTTCATTTTCATTTTTTTTCATTTCATTTGCTGTTCATCATTTTAAAAACATGATAATTTTATTCAATTTTTATTCCCTAATTTTGTATTTACATTTGCTGTCTACATTTATTATTGTTTTTTACTTTTACTTTCAACTACACATTCAGTTTGATATTTAAATTACATTTACTTGAGTGTGAGTGATTTGACTCGGATATTTGTCAATAGTCGAGCTCTGTCTTTTCAATCTTTTTTTCTGTTTTTGCTTCAATTTCCTTTTTTCATCCAACAATCAACGAGAAAAATCTTGATCTTCCTTTTTACTTTTCATTAATACATTAATAATGCATTAATGTATTACCGGATGCAAAAATAAAATGTTTGTTCAATGATAACTTTGTTTGATTATAGCCCTCCTTAATATACAATTTACCATAATTCCTTTTCCACCCAAATTTTGTTCCACTTTCATTAATTTTCTCCTTTTCTTCATCCATATTCATTTAGGGTCCAAACATAGTGGAAGAATGTGATCTCATAGAAATAGGTATAACCAACGCCACTGATCGGTCCAAATTACTTGAAGCATCCCGGATCATCCCAGTGATACCAAAGTTGGCGATTCATGAAAATCTTTCAGTTGATCAATGGTTAGCCTCATTGTCATTGGAACAGTATCAAGTCAATTTTACTGAAAATGGTTTCACTGATATGGATAAGGTTAGAAAAATTTGGGACGTCGAGTTGAATGCTGTTATTGGAGTAACCAAGATTGGACATCGAAAGCGAATATTAGCCTCTCTTGGGGAGCGCCTTAGTTTAATTAGTGATCTCAGTTTAGATGATATAGCTTTCAATCGATTGCCCTTTGACTTTGATGATTTAAGATTAAGAGATGAAACTGATTACAGAGGTGAACCAAATGATTCGAGAAGTGAAGATAATCTTATTAGCAGTCATACCGGTAGATTGGGAATTGAAGCTGCCATAGGTGGTGAAGGATCAACGTTTGATTATGAAAGTGACAGAACTTCCATTTCATCTGATATAAGGCCAGATTCAGTAAACTCTGTTAGCACAACATTTTCTCAACGATCTTCTAATCAACTAAGCACACCTCTAATGTCTCAATGGAAACATGATCCTGTGGATTTGGTTAACGGTGAATGTCGCTATTTAGCAACTTACCTCGGTTCAACCTTAGTAACCAAACTTCAAGGAATCCAAACAACCAAAGAATCAATAACAAAATTAAAAGAATCAACCAAAGATATTAAAAAAATTCCTTCTGTTAACTTATCCATTTCTTATACTGGTGTAAAGTTCATTGATGCTCAGACTGACGTAAGTTGTGTGTCTGTGTTACTTTGAAAATCACTTAAATTTAGAAGCCATTAATTGACTATTTTTTTCTCACTTGTTTATTAAATAGAAAATGGTCTGTGAACATGAAATTCGTAATATTCATTGTGCTTGCCAAGATGCTGATGATTTTAGGCACTTTGCTTACATCACAAAAGAGCACGAGACCAATAATCATTACTGTCATGTGTTCTGTGCTCAATCTTTGGTAAGATTTTACAAGCTTTGAATCTTTTTTCTCAAACTCTTCTCTCAATTTTTATGGTGTACATTAACATCAATCATCTTTTGCTTCTTGTTGCAATCAATCAACATTTTACAAATTTTATTTCTTGTTTGTTAAAGGATATCGTGACGGAAATAATTTTAACCCTTGGCCAAGCTTTTGACATTGCATACAAAATTGCGCTCGGTGAAGATATTGAAACACTTCGCAGGTTATATCATGAAAATCAAAATAAAGCGCCATCACCACCACCACGGTCAACTTCATACTCTCTATCACAATGTACTTCATGGGATGACAGTTTGACTCATGTTCCAAGCTCATCTGGTGAAGAGACGAGCACTTTAAAGCAAACTTTGTCACCTAAATCACAAGCCAATTGTCATAATAGTTTTACCTCTAAAGTTGATAACAGTAATAGTAATAATGTTGAAAGCAGCAACAATAATGTAAAGAAAAATTTAAACAATAATTCCATTTTAAAAGAGACTCAACCAGACCTGATATTATGCTCACCTTCACCAACTCATAATAATAACAACATTTCTCGACCTCCTTCCAGTGCAAGGAAACCTCACTTACGGGTCAAACCCGATGTACCCACCAAGCCTCCATCGTTGATCAAATCGATTGCTTCACCAGCTTCAACCTTACAAAGAAAGTCAAAATGAATCATTTTTCATTATTCTTTCTATGGTTTGATAGCTTTGTTTTTTTTTGTTAATAATATATCCTCAACCCTCGTTGCCATTGACCTGTTATTGTGCTCATACATACACAAAAACCAAGCCAAAAATGTACAATGTACATTTTACAACTGATTCAGATAACATTATACTCATTTTATTCGTTATCTTGGCTCATTATAATGAAACCAAATGTTGATGAATTGTTGATTCATAGAAAGAAAAAAAACGTTTGACTAAAAGGGCAAGACTCAAAGAATTGATTCCACGGAACAAAAAAAAGAAAAGAAAAAGTTGAAATATAAATATGATCATTACTATTATAATTGATATTATTATGAATTTATTATTATTGCTATAATTTGTTAACATTATGGACGATTGTCACAATATTACGATACACTAGATAATAGCAGAATAAGTGAAGTCAAAGACATTGCCAATCATCCAACTTAATCTTCAAGATTCATCTCAAGCTGAACCTGCAACAATCCTGTTGTTTCACCATTAAAAAAGGATTTCTATTGGAAATGGACAACCTGATCAACACAGATAAATCTAGTCCGCAACATTTTCAACTTCAATATCGAAATATTAAGGTGCTCAACATTAGAAACGACAAAGATTCTGGCCTGTTTTTAGGAGATTGAAATTCACCAATGATTAATAAGGAAATTTCTCAATCCTATTAATTTGTTCATCTATCCTTTCCGATGTGACCAATTAGCTTAGTTGGAGTGGAACAACACATTTAAGTAAAGATCGTTAATTAACAACATTTCATCGAGGAAGATTAACAACAATTAAAAAATTCATCGGTGCAAGCACAACTTATGAAACATTGTATTTCATAAAAAAATGATTTCTTTCCCTTCCCGTATTTTTCGTCATTTTGGCACAAAATTTTTCGTTTTCTCCCATTAAGGATCAACCAATCGAAAGCTCATAATTTGATTACTTTACAGAGTCTTACTTTGATTATATGTCATACGAAAACGATGTTCATGACAATTATTAATTCTTCCTTACTAACTCATTCCCATGATGATAAAAAACAAAACTAAACAAAAATAATGTTATTGTAAAATTACAATTAAGATTGATTGTACAAAGCAAATTGTTTTTATTTGTCTGACTCGCTCACCATGTTGATCATGTTTTTACCTGTAAACCTTAATTTTCTTTGTTTCTTTTCTCTATCTTCTCGAAGGAGATAAATACGTTAAATTTGACCTCACGAAAGTAAAAATTTTTGCCAAAACAAGTCTGATATGACATGAAATGAACAATAATCGAAAAAGAATTTTACCGCAACAATTCATTGACGGATTTCATGCTGATCCATACCATAAATTGAAATGTAATTTCAACAAACACACAATAAAAAAATTCTTTCTCATTCAAAAACAATCACATTAAACCTTCACTTGACTTGTAACAAAACTATTATCGCGATCTATTACAACTATCAATTATTGTTCAGCATAATTATTAATCTTTTATTTCTTGTAATTTCAATTTAAACGATTCCCATTGCAATTAAGTAAGGTTTTTGCAAGAAATCAAATAGCGTAAAGCTCGCAGCACTGAACCCGAGATTTTTGAGTGATTTGGGTTCATCTAAACTCTCGTTGATAAGGCGCCTAATTAGGAGTGTTTATTCTTATCTTTCAATTTTAACTCGAATTTAATTATTCAATCGAATCCATCCGATTATCCGAATCGTTTCCATTTGAAAAACTTACTTTTGCCTTATCTTCAATATTAAAGTTTTTTTCAAAAGACCGCCATCATTTTAATTGGACATTTATTTCAGGTTTAGAAAGTTTCTAGTAGAAAGACAAAGTGAGCCTAAGAAACCCATCGATAGTGTTCCTATTTATGTTGTTGTTAAGAATTTCTGTGTATATTTTGCTAATTAATTAGATATAAATTAATTGTTTCATGCATATTAATGTACTAACACTTATATACTCTGTATACCATATGGTTTCATCAATTAGTTGATTTTTATTCTTTATTTATGGTTCTTATTGCCAAAATGTCAAGGTTATCCTCTATCACCAAAAATGTAACCCAATTTAAACCAAGTTGTTATTTTTCACGATACTTGTCAAGTGACCGTAAATTGGACAATCATTACGACGTTCTTGATATTCCTCGTGAATCATCACAAGCAGATATCAAAGATGCCTATTATAAACTTTCAAAGCAATACCATCCCGATCGCAATCCTGGTGACGAGAATGCATCGGATAAGTTTCGCAAAATAACCGAAGCTTACGATGTTTTAAGTAACCTTGGTGCAAAGCAAGAGTATGACCGAGCCTTAGTACTACAAGATAAAAGGAATTCACCTTTCAAATCAACTTATAAACCACCCACATTTAGAGAGATGGACACTAAAACTGGCAAACCTTTGGACTCGCAGGACTATACACAGTTTTACAGAAACCGTAGAGCTCAATTGGGAAGACATGAACCACCGGTTACGAATTTCAACAGCAAAATTGAAGGAAATCCTGAGAACCCCTTCGAAGTTAAAATTGATCCCCAATCACCACCGATAAAAACGAGAAAGTACAAGCATTATTCAGCTTCAGATTGGACCGAACCTGTAGAGAATGCAGAGAGTACTGGCAAGCGAGATGTATCAGCGACGAATGCATTGCTTCTTATTTTAATTGCTGCTGGCTTTGTATTTTTTTACCCCGATATATCTGATAATTCGATTTATAGTTCAGTTCCAAAACCTTAATTTATTCAACCATGTTGTTTTGTTGATTATTTTAATGTGCAAAAACTCATTCGCCTGTTTTTTCATCAACTATCAATAATGAATGTATAGTTTTTGAATAGATTTTCTAGACCTTTGCAAATATTCATAGCACTGTCGATGTTGTTTTTTATCTTGTGTTGGATATTTATAAAGATCTAGAAAATCTATTTCATAATATTTTGTGGACAACAATGTAAAATAATAATTTCCTTATCATTAAAAGTTTTATGAATGATTATCTCGCTACCTTCTATCAATGCATGTAATATATGAATAATTATTTTCACTTTGCATTGTTCAGAATTAATTTTTATTCTTTGATGTAATGTATAAATGAAAATGAATATTAAAATTATCAAGTTAAATGATTGAGATTAAGATTTAATATCATTTCAAAAGATGAGTTTGTTCTCTGTACAAAATTGTTCAAGTTTTGGAAATAAAACAATTTTACGGGATAGAATTGCGTAAAGTAAAAAGAAAAATGATAAATGGACAGAAGGAAAATTCAGAGGAACATATTGAATATAGGTAACATTATTGGTAAGGGCCACAAAATAAAGAAAAGGTTAATCAAGTTAATTTTGAATAATCAATTTTGCGCCAATGTATAGAAGAATCAAGGCAAAGGAAAAGATTTATTTCTCTTTGATTTACCTATGAACTGGTCTACTGAAAGGGAAAGCTGGAAGATCATCTGGGTAAGTTGAGGTAATAGGATATGGTGGCGTACCAAAAGGATTGGTCGACGAAGATGGCATTGGTGGACCAGGGGCCTGACGAATGGGTTGTAAACTGGCATCATTGGATGATTGACTACGGACTAGCTCCATCAACTTTTCAGTTTTGATCCTACGTAAATGAGAAAGCTTCCGTTTCTCAATGTATTCTTTGAGGAAATCATCTAAATTCATTTTACTAGAGAGAAAAGATGAGGCCAAATCTTCACTTTCTTCTTCAGCCTGAGCGGACGCAGTCTGTAAAAGAGCCAGTGTAATATCAAGACTTGTTTGTCTATTGTATTCATCTAATTTATCCTTCTTTCGTTCCAATGTTTTTTTCAGCTCCAAAGCTTCCTGGTGCGATTCATATAAAGATTGCTTCAACTGTCTAAAAGCTGTTTCCTTTGATAAATTGTATTCAGCGATACTTTTATTTTCGGCCAACATGAGTTCCTTCTTTTTCTCGAGATTTTGAACCTGAAATAGGTAAAGAAATGAAAAACATTGAATTATTGCAGTCAATAAGGATCATAAATAAATGGATTAGCAGATGAGGGATAAACTAACAGTATTATTGAAGTCATCGTAAATACTGCCAGGTTAAATTATTCGCTTAATTATTGGCTTCTTTGATTGGGGTATATTAACGCTTTATGAACTCTATTTAGAGTCACAAAAGTGAAGCTCGCGTAAAAATTAAGCGAAAGGTTTGCTTACTTGAGGAAGATCTTTTATTAACTCTTCCAATTTAATATCAGTGGTGGGACTTTCATCATTTAATAGTTGTTTCAATTCGTCATTGCTTAAATGTTTAATAACAGATGTAAGGGTTTTGATGTCATCATCAGTAATTGCATAATAATTTAATGCCATGGCACAGTTGAAAAATCAAGTGATTACAAAGAAATGAGCAATCAATGTAACAAGAAAAAGGGTGTAATGAAATTCAAGTAGATAGAAATTAAAGATATAAATTAGAGAGAGAGGGTAATAATCTTAACAAGTTTGAACACGGACAATTAATTGTGATTGTGTAAACAGATCAAATAGAAGAGAAAATTTTCAATCACACAATTAAGATTGAATAACAATATAAAGAATTGGTGTTTGTAGAAAAGGCCAATTTTTGTTATTTATTTATGAAGGTAAATAAAAACAAAGTCTCATCAAAAAGACAACCAGCTTTGAAACAGCACCAATAGAGTGTGCTGGTTAACGTTATTCAATGAGATTGTTTAAAATGAAAATTCATGAAATTATCTCACTGAATTATGAACTATCAGATTTTAAAGAAGACACACAGCAATCAATAATTAATGTCAACTTTACCATTCAGTTTAATATTGAAATCGAGTTCTGAAGGCTAATTAAACAATGTTTACCTTCAATTTTCTTTGACTGCCATTAGATGGCTCTATTTAGTAATCTTGGTTACCGGCTGTAGTCTACAACCCGATGGAATTACTTATGCAGCTTCTTAATAGTTAACCTCGGTTTAGGTTTAAATTGATCACTATTTGTTTAATAATTGATTCAAGTTGTTAAAATGGTTGATAGTGAACTTTTAAAGAACGATTTAAAAAATTTTCTCCACTTTGCTTGTGAGAAGAAGACTGTCAATGGTGATTTGTTGATCAGGTCGGTCATCAATGTATTCAACAAGCTTCCAATATCAAGGTCTGGTGTTTTGACTTTTTTTAATCAACTTTTCGAAGAAATATGTGAAAGATATAGCTCTGAAAATGGTGGAAAGAAATTTAAAAAGTTGGATACCAGTATTCTAAGTCGACTTATCCAAAAGTCAAATGAACCGATGGCTAGAGGAGTTGATAATTTAGGAACAGTTGGGGACACTCCGATGAGTCCGCCAATGGTGGAAACAGGATCTACCACAGTTCCTATATTAGATGAAAGTAACATAAATGCCACCATTCAAAATTATATCGAATTGATTGGAACGACTTTTGACCAAGTTGATGCCAGTGGAGACTCTACATGTAAACAATTGATCGTTGATTGGATTTTGAATTTCATTGCCATCCTGAGTAACAACAAAATGATGAAAAATTTACCACAATCTTCTGCTACCAATCCCGTTCTCATATTCACAGAGTACATTAATTTTTGGATTAAATGTCCTGTTGTTGAGCTTGTTTTCAAAATAATCATGTCTTACGCTTCATCGTCTTCCATTTCATCTTCTTCATCCTCGCCATCATCGTCATCCTCGACCTCTCAATCTTCAAACAACTGTCAAGCTTTACTGTTACGGTTAATTGACTTCTCACCTGGCTCAGATTGGATCTCAGCTCATCTCATTGCATCACTACCATCTGATTCAAATTCATCTTTATTTTCAATTTGTATCGAAACTTTACTTCAGAGTAATGCATCACAAATATCCAAAACAAACATATTATCTTACATTTCTGAACACAACCCTCAAGCAATAATCAATGCATCTAGGAACAATATACCATTTCTATTAAAATTAGCCGCCAATTCCAAACCATTACTCAACCTTCTATCTGTTGAAGTAGTTAAACAAGGTAAATACTTGCAAACTATCGTCACATCCAAATGCTTCCACTGCTTGAAATCAGTTGAATCTAATACATTTTTTCTTTTTTTTCAGTTAATATCAAAATGCTAAACGATCTCAGTGGCACTCTAAAAGAAAATCTCCAACCTCCTGTCATTTATTGCATACTGAACGCCCCTAATTCTTATGAACTTTTATTAATTGTGTTTGAAGCTTGTTCGCATCCTAACGCAAATGAAATTGTCCAGAAAAAAGCTTTTGGTATTTTAGAATCAATAATATCTCACATTCACGAGCTTGTATACTCTGCTAATGTCATTGCTCCAGTCCCTATTTTGGAAGTTTTGAGAGACAATTTGGAACATCTTGTATCTCATGCAATTACTAAATCGACTAGTAATTTGAAAAGACTACAAACGCAAATTATTCAACTGTTGTGTCTTTACTTTGGTATAGATTTTTCAGCGCAAGTTTTACATCAAATTCTCAATTCTCTAGACACTTGCTATAGCGGATTCACCTTAGTTGCTCCACCTAATCCTATTCTAACTAACTTGATTCGATCATTGAAACTACCATTTGGTGCCCAAGTATATAAATGCTTTAAAAAAGCTGCTCAATCACCACTACCAAAGAATGCCAATTTCTGGGCGAATCTATTATCATTAGTGGATCTTGACGAGACTATAGAACTTGATATTGATGTCATGACGGATCAATTTACAGATCACATGCAGATGGGTCATTTTGACCGTAAATTGTTTTATATTCTGCGATTAATTTTATGTTGTATTGAGAAAAATCCCAAAACTTTGGTACGACCCAAGCATCATCTTTGCATTAGCTTAATGTCAACTTATATGAAAATTTTGGACCTGATTGAATCAAATGACAATGAATTGGAACTGCGAATGCAGCTTGTTTCAACAGCTCAAAAACTAATGTCTCATCTCTCCAAAGGTCAAATATCTAATCAACATATTTTAAGTCGAGCTCTCATTGAAACTGAACTTAAAAGAAGTGAAAACGTCAAACCAGAAGAATTGAAGGCTCCATATATCAGCATGTTCAACGAAAACCTTCAATATGGAGGACCAACCAAGTTTAGAAAAACGTCCTTAAACCCGAAACGTGATATTAAAATTAATAACCAAGAAGAGCTGAAGCCTAAAAAATGCTCTATAAGAAATCAACTTCTAGTCGACGCAATTAAATGTTGTATTATAGATACACAAGCACTTGCCTTATTGTTGGTCGAATGTGTAACACCCGACGTTATGTTCAATGATAAACCCTGGCCAGATGAGGACTTTCTTAAGGTAATTCACTATTAGTTAAAATTATATTCTTAACCCTAATGTCTTTATATTTAAAATTGTTTTTTAAATCTTATATTCAAAGGTTACCATTGAAAGAGATCTTTATGTTGCTCGCAAATTTGAATCAAATCCGGTTCTTTGGGATATCTGTGAATTGATTGCAAAAGCTGGGAGTTTACAGCACTGTTCAGTTTTGATTCAAGCTTTGATGGCTGTGCAACTATGCCGTTGGTCTGCGGCAACTGCTCAAATGGACAAACTTGACGCAACCCAAAAGTAATTATTTCATTTAAAAACCACAAAAAGTGATTTCTTTGACACTTAACATTAATTATTTTATTTTATTATTGTCTTAGGCTAGTTTCATTGATTGCCACAAGTGAATTGGTTCCTAGTTGTCCATTCAAGTATATACCTCAAGTATTACCGGAACTTACTCCTTGGGAAATATTTTGTATATTGAATGATCTTTGGAGGTATCTAAGAGATAATAGTCCTCCAAATATTCGACCTAATCAAGGATCACTCCGACCATATTTAGAAAGATTAAGAGTTATTACAGCAAAAAAACTCCCCGGTCCACTTTTTGTGAAAATATTCAAAAACTTGGAGTGAAATATGTAATTTGATTGTTTAGTGTATAAATTTTGTTACGCATTATCATGAATTTTCAGATATTTTCACCGAGTATTCATTTTCATTGATATTTAAAATATACCAATTTTGTTTAAAAATTACCATCGTTTCAGAATACTTTCCAAAGCATGAACTTGAGATTCAATCTTTTGTTCATCTTTTATTGATATATTGAAATGAGATATTGATATTTCATGTTCATGGCATTTACAGAGAAATAATCAACATAATCAACCTCAACCAAGTTACAGGTTTTATTATGAAAGATTGCAATTTTGATTCAATAGATAATTCAACACAAAAAACGATTGTTTAATTATCATATGATTATTCAGTTGTAACAATTGTTTTGATGATCTTTCAGCTGAGATGTTGAGAGGAGTAAATCTGAAACTGGTTTAATTGAGATGATACGATGGTTTAATCATGGCTTAATTGCAATCTGATAAGCAAATCATTTGTTCTTGCAATTAGAAATGCAAGTTGTTATTCATTTTTCTACAGAAGTCATAAAGTCGCAAAGTCATAAGAGATATAAATGATAATATAATGGTTAACCCATTGATAAAGATTTTAAACCAGAATTTGATTCATTAAAGTTGAGATTACGAAAAGAATAGATTAACAAATTGAAGATCAAAATCTGAATTTAAAGTGGAAATCAAGTTTCTATTCAGTTAGATAGATGATCCCGTCTTGTTTTTCTCAACCAGCATATATTTTAGCTTAAATGCCACCTTTATATTTGGTACAGATGTGATTCAAGATTTTGTTTTGTCTGATAAATGAAAATCCAACTGAACTATTAAGATTTTAATAAATATTATAAGCTATTAATGTAACGTTAAAGAAGCCGTTTTCAATTTCATTGACACTGATGAACACTTCAATGTGTGAACATTATGTTGCTGGGTTACAACACTCTATGAAACCCTATAAGTCTTTAGACGACGTAACGAGTTTTGTTTGCACTGTCTTGGTACTAGAGATAAAAGTGTCAACTCTAAAGCTATGAACATTAAATCTCAATTAGTTAATTCTTAGATGAATCATTCCACTTTTGGTTGCACAGAAAATTATAACGACTAGAAACCTAAAACAGATAAATCAAACAACTCTATCAATATTTTCAGTACTTGTGAGGTTTTTTGATCTAAATGAAGGAGAAAGAAAGAGAGAGAAATAAAATTGCCAATTTTTGCTGGTAAATTGGTTATTATCAAGTATAAATTAATGTTTAAGAGACGAAATTTCCTTTTAATAAGGAACCAGATATTGTTATATAAACTATGGAACCGAATATTAATACAAAGATTCATTATATCATTAAAAAGTATTGTTTAATGAAAAAATTTGGGTAAACTGGTTAATGTACATGGAAGACATTATTAGCGAGTGATTACTAAAGTTTATAAACAAATTAACATTTAAATTACATTATGCTACAATATTTCATCGGAACTTTGATACAAAGTCTGTCAGATTGCAGGAAAGGAAAAATTATCATTTAATTGAAAACCGATGAAAAATGTAATGAAAAATACGCTTTCTGTAAATTACAGAAAGTATCAGTATAATAAATATGAGTATTAGCACGATTGGTAATATAATAATCAGCAGATTAGTCGATTTTTTCGTTGTGAAATTTGTTAGTTTAAAGTGATTTTCTTGATAAACAGTTGAACCATCTGCAATTATCGACAATTCACCTTTTATTTTTGCGATTTCATAAAATTTGTTTGAATAAGTGATGCTTTGAGGTAATATCCATCCACATTCTATGTTCGTAACTCTTGAATAATCCAATTGTGATAATGGTATTGAAGGTGAACCAAAATTATCTGAAATGTAACCAGATACATTGTACTGAGTGTGATTACAAATTATGCTTATTCTGGTTCCATCTGAGGAAGTTAATTTAACTTCAGTGACTTTTGGTGTATCAGCAATTCTTACTTGTAGGTAAAATGAGATCGTGTTATCATTTGGTTTAATTATCAAGGAATAATTATTGTTTCCATAATTTTGGTTACCAACACATTTGGTATATTTCATTCCACAAATAGGAACATCTTCACCATTGTTAGCAACAAGTGCAGAAGTTTGGTCTGAAATCAAGAAAATTTGGTAATCACATTCATTAACCAGATCCATTGGTTTATTATTCATAAATGGCCAGTAGTAATTATCCAATATCCACCAACATATTAATTTATCAGGCAAATAAATTGATGAACCACCACTTCTCAAGTTATAGTTTTCAGCTATAATAGCTTCGGTTGCGCCGTGTGTTGATTTACTACAAGAGTATGTAAAGAATTGGTCCTTCTTTTGTAATTTAAGGCTAATTTTTCTGAATACTCTTTCCTCAACATTGTGTCCAATCAGTGTTATATTCAAATGATTTTTGAAAATCTCTTCATGTTCAATCACATTGATATGAGCTTCAACCAAAAGATTGTGAGTAGAACCATAAGACAACTTGAATACTTTACTATAGCAAGGATCGCAACCAACCGTTGACTCGATGAGGTTCACAAAAAATAAACTTACACCTATGATTGGTATCATTTCTGGTTAACTTGCTGATTCAACACAAGCAGCATATTTTTGGTCATCTTGGTAACATTGTAACTCCAGTAACACATTAAAACAATTGTTCAATTATCATATGATTATTCAATTGAAACATTGGTGATAATTGTTCAGTTTCAATTGTTATTAAACTTGAGAGGTGTAAATAAAGCTGAAACTGGTTCAATTGAACAAGATTAAATGACTTATCAATTTGATTGCAATTGAAACAAATCTTGTAATCTTATCTTGCAATAAGCTCTAACGTGTTATGAATAAGCCACAAGTCACATTAGGTATCATAGGAAACCCATTTTTTTGCAAGGTGAGAATAGACATAAAATATTAATGCGATTATCATTAATATACTGGCAATAACAAATGATGATAAAATGGCTAAATCATCACAAGAGGATTTGGAACCAGAAATTGATTCACTTAATTTGAGATTTTGCAAGTTGTAATGGTGTCTCTTATCGTCCTTGATATGAAGATTAAAAGTCGAATCCCAAATTGAACATAAGCCCTTTTTACATGTAAATGTATCTGGCAGGTCGACTAAACATAAATTACCAACAATCTTATTGTACTTTGGCTTATCATCTGTGAGAAATCCTACGGTTCCATCAAAACTCAAGCCGTAACCATACACAATAGGATTGGTATAGTTGCACAAAATGACCAGAAATGAACTTTCATGTGATAATGAGACTTCAAGCATTTTTGGATTCTTGTCAAATGAGTTAATCCAAAATTGGACGAAATCCGTCCTTTTCTTTATTATAAGTTGATACTCGTTATTGCCATAAATCTGGTAACCACCGCACTTGGTGAAAGCTAGTTGATACCAAGGCAGTTCAGTTGAATCTTCAGCAATTACTGAATCAATTACGTCCGAAACTAACGCTATACTATAATTGGCACTGTACACTAGGTCTAAGAGTTCAACATCGTAGGGCGTCTGTTTGGATGTGAAAGGCTGAGCAATCCAAGTACAAATCAAGTTTCCATTCATGTAGATGGATGATCCAGTCATGAGTCGTCTTTTATTATTGAACACACCAGATTCAGTTTTACCTAATCTCAATTTAGCACAAGAGTACATTAAGGTCCTTTTCTGTCCAGTGAATGTTAACATGATTGAATGACTTTTGCTTGGATCCATATTGTATGCCACCAATGTAACATTAAAGTCAGACTCGTTATTTTCAATTTCATTGACACTGATGAGCACCTCAACGTGAGAACAATATGTTGATGGGTTACACGGAATACTATAAGTCTTAAGACGACATGATGAGCTTTCTTCACACTGTTTTGATACTAGAAACAAAACCGTCGATGTTAGCGTCAAAAGCATAATGTTAGATTATTCTTGGATGAACTATTGCAGTTGATTTAACAAAAAAATTATAAAAACTGTAAAGCTGCTAAATGGTGAATTCACCTATCATAGATACTGGAAGCTCAATTGAAAGTGAAACATTGAATGTCTATGTATATCATTGCACATAAACAACTGCAATGCTTATTTTTGAACTCTCTCTTTTTCCCTCTCGTTTGAGATAAAACAAAAGAGAGAGAACAGAAAGGGATATTGAAGATTCTAATGAAATTATTATTATTGTTAAACCAAATGGAGATATTTAATTATAGTCTTAAATTATACTTAGAAAATTAAAGATACAAAGGTTTTACAACGTATTAAGAGTTACAAATTTTAAGTACAAAAGAGTGAAGTCACTACTTTCATCACATGGTCGTCATTGCTGAGTTCACAGTCAACATTTCACAAAGGTGTTTCTCCTGATGTCTAGTCACTACATAAAATCCTTTACCTAGTCACTTTTCCAATCTAGTCACTTTGTTCCTCTAGTCAATTAATAATTGTTCACAATTTGATGTACTTATTACATGGAGGTTTATAAAGTTGAGGTCCGAGTCCAATCTAGTCACTTTGTTCATCTAGTCACTTTTAGTTAATTCACAAATAGATTTACTTATTATATGGAGGGTTATAAGGTTGAGGTCCGAGTCCAATCTAGTCACTTTTAGTTGTTCACAAAATATATTCACTTATAAAGCTGAGATTCTTAACGTTGAGATTCAGGTTCATTTCATTCGGATTTAAGTTTACTGGAAGAAAACCAATTTAAAACCGCACAGGGCTTCCGCAGGGTCCGATAACGGCAGCTAAACAAAGGATTTGTCGGCCATTTTATGCGGAGTGAGGGAGAAAATCTTCTCCCTCACAAATGGCCGACCCAGAAAAAAACAACCAATTGTGGCCTTTCCCTACCTACTGGAGGTAGGGAAAGGTAGTGTTTACCAAAAACTGGTTAAAACCAGCTTTGCCTTTCAGTTGACCGGGGCACCAAAAGAACGTCCTCGTTCTGTAAATATAAACTGAGATATGGATTAGTAATAATATGAAAATAATGTAGTGGATAATGTGAATTCGGTAAAGTTTCACCAATCATTTATAGATAAATTGGCGTTGACCATTTTTCTTATGGTCTCTGAAGTTGGAACGTAGTTTATGT